GGGGGGGGTGCGATTACGGCAAGCTGAGAGAAAAGAGATATTCGGATTGCTGGGTGAATTATCGCGTGGAAGAACGGAATGTGCGAAAACAAGAGAGAGAGAGAGAGAGAGAGAGAGAGAGAGAGTGACAGTCCCGCGCGAGTAAAAGAGACGGAGGGGAAATATAAGACGAGTAAAAAAGAGAGAGAAATAGTAGAAGGGAAGGGATGAAAAATGTAACGCGGCGGGCCGCCGCCGACGTGTGTTGTAGACGCCTCCCCTCCTTTCCCCTGTAGCCGCTACCCCCTCTCTTGGTCCCACTACTGATTCCAAGCATCGGACACGCCACAATGATTCTTCGAGAGAAGGCAAATTCTTGAAATCCAAAAATCGTAAAAATTGTCTACCGAGTACCCAAGTACCTTTTTGACACGAAAATCAATTTTACTCTTGGAAGAATCAGGATCCTCGATTAGCATACTCTTGATTCCTTTAGTATATTTATTGTGTTCGTGCGATGATGAATTTTTTTTTTTTTTTTTTTTTTTTAAAATCTTTTCCCTCTCTTTTACTATCCTCGGAGGAAGTACCCTGCAACGGTCTCAGTAGACGGTGGTACCTACCTTCCCTTTAGCCGCATGCAAACTTCACCGTGTCTCTTTTCATTAAGAAAGTTCGTCCGAACGTCATCGAGAATGAAAATTGGAAATTCTTTTTTTTTTGTATTTTTTTTTTGCGAATCCAGAGGAGAAAAAAGGTGTCCCAGCCAGCAGAAAACTAGCGTTGATATTCGTATACTGTTATGCATAAACTACACATAATGATTATTATAGTAAATGATACATAAAGTATGATATATTTCTCTATCCATTAAGAAAAAAAAGGAAATACAAACAGTTGTTGTTTCTGGTAAGAAATACTACGCAAGAAATACAAAGCCAGCCCCGCATATTGCCCAGTGAGCACGTCATTTTGTACGCTTGGGAGTTGTGAGGTCGTCTGAATAAACATTGTCTGGTGAATTATATATGAAAATTCGTTGGTTATTCTTACCCTCGCATCGTATAATTTCATTCGCGAAGAAACCTGCGACTTTTATATGAAATCCAACGCAGCGTCCGGAACTTCAAAATGCATTGGGTGCATCGAATCGAAAGGGTAAGTGTTGCTTCGATTGATTATCGATGACTTGTAAGTATTGAGTCACAAAATAAGTTCAAAATTTGTTTTGAAAAGACTATGAATTTTAAATGAATAATTTGACAGTTCGTCTTATGCCAAGTACGTACCGATAACACGTTATCGCCATGGACTGCGCAAGCTAAGTTTGTATAACACGTATACGTGTTACAGTATGTTTGTACAAATCAAAATTGTGCAAATTTTCGAAACTGATCGACCTTGTTACTAATTTTTTGATTGATAAAATTTTAATGATTGTCAAATTTTGTTTTTCTGACAATTTTTCTTCACTTTCAAAATTCTTCATACCAGCTCGATCTTTCGAGCAGAGTTGTCGCGTCTCGCTGACAGATAACGCTGATTACTCTCCTAGTTTAATACAACAGTGACTCGTAAGCTTTTTTTTTTGACAAATTTTGTAAAGATCACGCAGAGTTCGACGTACCATTATATAGACAAGAATTATAATAAATTGTAAAGAAAATATTTTTATTTCAACGATAAATTTGTATCGTTAAATATTTTTCTAATTTAGATCTTTTAAATTTTATTATTAAGGTTTTCTTATTTATTTATTTGTCATCAATAAAATCAGCTCGCGTCTCGTTCACTTTTCCACAGGCCCCTTACCAGAAATTAACGTCAGACCGCGCCTAAGCGCGCAGTAACACGCTACTACGAAATTGCAATGCCGAAGTCTCGCAACGCCCGCGCAGTGCGTTTATAACGATTCTGGTTTCTTGTTCATCTCGTGATAAACGGGCGAATAATGGTTGTGAAAACAGCTTTCGTTCATTCATGCATTTTCCATTCACAAGAGCCACCGCGCGAAACGCGTGCCAACGTACGGGCTCTCTCGTTAAGAGGAAACACGTTCTTTCGGCATCTCGGCACACGCGACGCCACAGGACTTGTACAAACAATATATATTTGCCTCGTTCGAGTTAATATACAGGAATGTCGCGGCTCGTAAATTCAATTAAATTGAGCCGTCACCAATTTCGCGAATAAACTACAGCACGATTTCCGCTGAATTCAAGACATTAAAATTGTACCGTTCAAATTGTACGGATTTTTTAATCGAGTGACACGTGGATAAATTTGAAAAAATTTTTTTTTTTTTTTTTTTTAAATATTCATCCAATTCACAACGCCAAGGTAAGAAGGAGATAAATTTCGAAAAACCGTCTCAGTACCTCGTGTCTACCTGCCGGCACAGAGGGTTGTCGATTCAACGATACTAAATATAATCTAGTATGGTTCTTATCTCTTTCGGCTCGTTACTCGCGCTTTATAAAATCCAATTTGGTAGTCCAGGACTCCGCCCGTATCTTGGTAGGGTGAGAGCGGTACTTTTTAGCCTGAGTTTCGGGAGGGGGTGGCTAAGGGAGGCGGGCGAACGTGCCACGTCGAGAGGAACGCGAAGCGAGAGGAAAGTTTGCCTCGTGGCCCGAAGGGACGGTACAGGAGAAGCTAAGGAAAGATACGGGGAGTCAAGGGTGGAAGAGGGTAAGGAAGGGTCGAAGGTTGAGGGAAGGTCACAGCCGTTCGGGAGCAAGAGCCTAGATCTTAAGGGTACGAGAAAATAAAAGCTACTGCCACTCCCCCATCGACCATCCCCATCGCCACCACCATATACGTCGCCCCCATCGTCCCCCAATCTTTGGCGCGAACAAAACTTGGATGCGTAAACCGATTTTACAGTAACCAAGAAATTACTTCCACCCTTTGTATTTGTATATCGATCAGGTAAAAACCCGAATCCTCCGTGACCGAGTATATGCCTTGAATAAATATGACCAACAATAATAACCCCTTCTTTACCGACCCCTTTTGAAAATTTTCCACGTAGAAAATTCAAAAAGGCCATTTTCCTTTTTTACCAAACGAATAACGCGCCACTCTCTACGCGAATTTTTACATGTACCCAATCTGTATATTTATCCGAGATCTCTCGAGTCTCCGTTATTTGTCTTTTTTTTGATTTTGCATTTTTCTTATTTAGCTCTCTTAAAAGCCCACTGGGTCGTGAAACAGGTGATCCTGGATTCTAGAACTGAACTCCGTGTCCCTGGCCAATACATTCCGAGACTGGAGCAGGTCTCTCCCACATGTGTTCGTGCGCACGTGTATATACGTTATGTTAGCCTTCCAAGACCCTCCGTTCCTCCTACTCGCGTATCCTCTTCCCTCGCTGTTGACTGCCCTGCTTGGCATAATGCTGCCAGCTAAAGAGCCCGTTCAAGGACTGACCGAGGTCGCAGACACAACTGACAACCCATCCCGAGACAGAAATTCTCTTTCTCTGCCAACTGTCAACGAGGGGGGACGGGACGGGGGGAGCTTAGGCTACAGTCCCGGAGCAAAGTATAGGGGGGCTACCGTAATGCCGATGTTAACGGCCCAGCGTCTGTCCTCATTTTATCCGATGGCACGCTGGACGGAAACTTTGGTGCGCGTGATTTATTTTTTTCCCACTAGAAAATAAATTATATTTTTATTGGCTACGTATCTTTTGCTTCTTCGATCCTACGCTATAACGTATAATTTCATTTTCACCGCACGTAGGGACCTCTCGCGTGTTCCATGCTATACTACATTTTGCACTGTTATACGAGGATGATATACGAGGATAGGTTACTCTGATCACGGGCATCTTTTTTTAAGGACCATTTTTTCGTTTCTTCGGTTTCTTAGTTTTATATTAATATTTAATGTGTCACGTGATTTCTCGATTCACGGTCACGAGCCGACTCCGGCTACCGATACAGGTAACGCTCTTGATTTCTGGTTCCCTTCGGGTCGCCACTCTGCTCAGAAGTTTCGCTCTCGGGTTGATTCGTATACTTACGCCAATGCTCTCGGGAGACTTCGTTTTTGTTTAGTTGAGGTCGAGGTGCTCGAAGCTGCCGTGGCGAGATAGTCTCGACGTACCGAGTTTCCCGACAGAGAAGCCTACCCGACGGAAACGTCTACACGGACCGGCAGAAGCCCGGGTGAGATACCGATCCGCCAGGGAACGCCCTCGATTTGGTTAAAAGGGACACACACGAGGAAGACGGAAGAGTTGTCGGCTGTAAGGATCTCGACCAATCGGAACGATTAGTTCTCGAATTTGGCTATTATGGTAAAGCAGTCTGTCTCGGGGCACCGACCGAGCTGTCACGAGCTGTTTGGCGCTCTCGCGCTGTCTGTTTATAGTTTTTCCAGCTGCGTCTCGATACAGTGTACCAAGTTCTCGCGATATCCAGGCAATTCTGTGGATTCTCTGTGAGTGTTCCGGAGGTGTAGTGCAGTGCCCACCCGAGTGTCTCCTGGATGCGGTTCACGGGCGCTCAACAGCGCCATCTGGCAGGAATGTCAGTAACTAATGAAAAGTAAGCATCTATTAAAAATCGTCAGTCCCTGAAGCTGTTTTATTTCTGCCTTCGTAGGGCTTCGGTCTTTGTTGTCTGAGAATCAGACTGTCGGCATCCGCACGGTATACATACACTACAGACTCGCACGCACGCTGTGTATACTGGCACCTATAGATATAATGCATTCGATAGGAAGGAATGCCAATGGAGTCGAGGACCGTCTGCAGGCCTGTTAATCCTCGCTAATTCCCAGACAGTAAAGAGTCCTCCGGTGTCTTCCTGCCACTTGGACATTGGCTATGCGATTAGAAGAGCGTTAAACTGTACAAACCAAAAATATATCATTCGCAATATATCAACTTGCGATACTTGTAACGAGGCCTTCGGGACGAACGAATACTGTAAGACTACAATATAGTGATAAACTGGGAATTGATATAGGAAGACCATTTTCGACACTATACCATATATCAGCACAATGATAAACTAAAATTAGCTAAAGTACGAACAACCCCCAGAACAATGGACGTTGAATACGAAACTTGTCCCGAAGAATTTAAATTGCTTTAAAAGTCCTTCTTTAGCACAAATACGAAAAACAGTGAATGACCGAACGATTATTTACCACTTAATTTGTTCCTGTGCCGCTTCATAGATCCCTTCACGTGAATTCCTACCAGCATCTTCCATCTCTCTTATCGGTTTTACGAACGAGCGTCTGGATTTTCCATTTTCGAAAATATCCTTTAAACGGTCCATCCTCATTTCAGTTTTTCTTTAATTCCTCATCGAGCAAGAAAAAAACGTCCGAATGTCAAAAAGCATCGAAGAAAGAAATCAGCTAAGGCGAATAAGGTCAGAGGTGAAAAGGGTCCCAACCCTCACATAACGGAGACGCAGCATCCCGACGCGATCGCCACGTGGCAAGGTCACGAGCCCCTTGCGAAAACCCGTCCTAACTCCGGGTTCACGCGCAAAACGAAGGATCCCTACCCCAACGCGGCAATTTATGACCGACACGGCCTTCAGCCCCTACAGTCGACCCTCCTTTTCGTAAGTGCGTGGGCGCCTTCCACCCTCCAGATATTCACCCTTCTCTCGTTTTCCCATTTCTCCCCTGCTGATTCCGAACCTTTCCTTCCCTTTTCTACCCAATCAAA